GAGTAACGCACGCGAAAAAAAAAAAAAAAAAAAAAAAAACCAAATTCAAGTTGATGAATAAATCGTTTTGAACAGGTCCACCCGCGCGCTGGTCGGCCGCGCGCAAATCCCCGGGTTTCCGAGTCTACCGCAGCCTGCCGAGCCGTCGACGCGAGTATCCGGAGGATAAGAACGCCAAAAACGCGGAGAGGCCGATCAAGCCGCCCACGAGGACCATCCTCGGCAAGCAGCATGAGCCGAAAAAGTCCAGCATACCGGTCTTCAAGAATAATCGCAGCTCCAAGGAGTTTGAGGACATACGCGGACCCCATGAGTCACCCAAGCGCTCCCTGATACCTCAAAGGTATACATAATGTGTACACGTGGGTGTCCATCGATCGTACCTGTGTATTTATGTGCATCTGGCACGAGTCCCGAAGTCGAGGAAGAAAAAAAAAAAAAAAAAAAAAAGCAACAACCTGCACCTGAACGCTACACGGCGCGTATATAGGAAAAACGCGGAGTAGCAACAGATTCGATTTTCATTTTCCACCGCATCGATGTACGCGAGGAAAAAAAAAAAAAAAAAAAAAAGAAAACTGCACCTTTAATGACCGATCGATGTATACGTATGTATCGACTTGTCTTGTTTCAATAGGTATCGCGGGAGCACGGACGACTTGCGTCGCAGTCGGGAGGACGTGAGCACGCCAAGTCTCATACCGAAACTGCTGTCGCCGCGGAATAAGGAGGACAGGCTCAAGCGACAGGACAGCAAAGACGACGTGAGACTGTCCTCCCTGCCTTGTCTAACAGCCAACGGTAGGCAACAACAGCACCAGCAGATATCGCAAGAGGCCAAATCTTCGTCAAGGCTTTTTTTCCGAAGGGACAGTCGCGAGGAGACTCCCGTGATGTGAGGGGCTCTTGCTTTTTGTTCAGCATCCGTCTCGGAAACGCTTACTTACGCTTACCTCGAGTGCCGAGTAACGTTTCTGAAGTTCCCCGGTGTATGGGGACCGGTTCAACGCTTTCAATAAACAAACAAACACATTTTGATTGAGGGGATATAAAAAACATATCTCGGTGAAAACAAAAATTTTCCAGGCAAGCGAGAAACAATTGCTATCGAAATACACGTTTTTAGAAATATGCTTTTTGTTTGCTATCAAGATGTAAAAATTTCACACTTAACTGTTCGCGTGTAATTTCTCATTCGACCATCATTTACTATAATCATGATTTCGATGTACTTATGATGCAACAAAATTTTATTTTTTAAATGGCATTACCTATTGGCAAAAACTTGCGTTGAAATTGAAGGGACGTTACTTGAAGCGTTGAGCCAAACCTCCATGATCTGTGAACACAAAAGCTTGCACAAACGTTATGTACAGTTTGAAATATCAGCTTGTTTCTCGTGTGACTTGCAGCTCGCAAAGCAGCAGTGATGCGCCGGGGCAGGATTGTTCATCGTCATCGACGTCGAGTCTGGGTAAACCGGGCACGAAGCGAGATGAGCCTCTGAAAATGTTGGACGAGTCGAGTTCGCGCGATGCCGACAAAACTGCCAGCGTCACGAAAGAAAAGGGGGTCCTCGGGCCTCGTGACAGAGCCAACGAGGCTGCAGTACCACAGCTGCAGACGCTCTTTCACCTGGACGCCGAGGGATGCGACCGACCGGTACTCGAGACCGACAAACAACAAAAAACGCCCGAGTCGACCTTAGTTCCGAAAATCAACGAGCCCGTGGTCGTAAGTCCCATTCATTTGTACGCTCAACCCCGCGATATTGCAACTATGACTATTTCAATCTCCAATCATTGTTCAGGTCAAGAGAAAATTCTCCAAGGAAGAGTACTCGAACGATGACACGGACGACACCGCAAACCGGCGCTGCTCGAGCGTAAGTAATACATATCGTCGCGCACAGAGTTGTACGTGTAAACATTTGTTGTATACATATATGTTTGTACAACCCGTTGCAGCATCTGTCCCCGGAGGCGAGTCCATTGAGCACCAGGTCCTCGAAGTACAGTCCGCGGGAGAGCGAGAGCGAGCCGACGCCAGCCCTACCGCGAAAAGTGGGCAGCAGCGAACGGGGCGAGTCGAGCTCCGCCTCGCAGAGAATTCGCGATGCCATAACCAGGACTCGTCGCGAGTCCAACAGCAGTGCCAAATATGAGAGTAGCGGCAGCGAGGGCGTCAGGTAACCAATTGTGTACATTTGTGCAAACAACAAAAAAAAAAAAAAAAAAAAAAAAAAAAAGGACGTGCGTTATGTTGGTGAAATTGTAGTTTCATCGAGAGACTGGGCGGTGAGTCGAGCAGCATATCGAGCTACGTGGATCTCGCGAGGCGCGTCAAGCTGTTTGGCAGCGGAAGCATCGGGCCCTCGGCCGGAAGCTGCGACGAGGTGTTGCAGCGTGACAGTGCAACGAGCGCCGGTGAGGACGAGCACGACGAGCTGGCCTCCAGGGATCCAGCTCGGCTGAGCGCTGCCTCCCAGAACAGGGTCATGCTACGCAGGAGGCGACAGTACGACGTGCAAGGTATGTACGTTATTGGCTTAGCCCGCACGTTTATATTATACCCGCTTGGTCTGATTTGTAGCATTGCTCACGATTCTCTCGTCTCGTGGATGTGTGTTATTGTTATCACTGTATCGGTAGGCGCGACCGGTCCATTGATTTTCGAAGCCCCGCTTCGTTCGACCCGAGGTTTCTGCGAAACATCATTGCATACAGTCGCCCGACCAGTGCACTTTATTTTCGCTTCTCGCGCGCGTCGAAAAAGATTTCCTTTTTATTATACACGAGCTGTAGATCGAGAGAGAAAAACGGGCCATGGAAACCGAAGGGTTTACGATTTTCGGCGTGGAGTGGCGGAGAATCCTTCAGCTCTTCCTCACCGGCATCATCGCCATGTACTTCTTGATATTCTACATAGCAGCCATTGTCTTTGTTTTTCTACTCTGGGTGAAAAATTACTAAAGTTTCACCTATGAAATTTAGGTAAAACCAATCTTTCACGGGATGGGATATAGTTGTAACTCACGCTTTGTTCATCTAAAACTTTAGCTAATAGTAAATAGACATATGTGTATATTTACGTATCAATGTAGAGCAACGTTTACAGTTCATCATAACTTTCGGCTTATCGGTGCACGTTCATTTGTTGGCTAGTGTATACGTATATATATATGTACCTACATGTTGCTCCAATTTTGAGGTGTCTGTTTACGATGGGGATGGCGGAGGGGCCGAGGTGAAAGATAGGCGGTATCACCCGGCCTCGACACCCACGCGCTTATACTATAGGCTCTCTACCGCGAACAAAGTAAAAGTATCCTCTCTATATACCTACGGATTTGACCCCCCGCCCCCCCCGGATTGAACTTACACGTGATTCATAGAACCTCGCCACCCACGCTCCATCTTTTTTTTTTTGTTTGTTTTCCATTACGAAATAGTTTTTCCCCGGTACTTATAACGGCATAGGTCGTCAATACGCTATTGTTGGCTATTTGAGAGATTTAATGCGTAGCCGAGGATATTTACATTTACATAGTAGACGCAGCAATATGAACGTGACACTATGCAAATAAATTTGGAAAAAGTAAATTTGGAAATTCATGGCACAATTAGTTCGGACATAGAGAGCGAGAGCGAGGACGTGAGAAAATTAAAAACAGTTTAATATTTAATTTATTTAATGGTAACTTTTGTGCACACGCCATCTCTTCTTCTTATACACATATTATAAATATGTACAACTTGCTATATTTATATCTTCCATAGTATGATCGGGCATTCGTGTTTTTTCGTTTCTTCACCTGCAGCAGCACTTGGTCGTAGCAAAGCTATAAGCTACTATACTTACGTGTATACTTATACCAACCGCGGGGTGTTCTCAAAGTCCGCTCGCTCGTATTTTTTTCCCGATGGTCACAACAGGCCATTATTCATTCGCATGCACACACACACATACACTACACCGCGTCCCTCTTTTCGCGGTATTACAATCGGCTCGTATCACAATGTTCTATTTTTAGATTTTCAGTGTGCACCGCACCGACTGCCAGAAGGGCCATTTTTTTGTTTCCCTCTTTTTCTTTTTTCAACAAAATTTTGAGCTCCAAAAATACATGGTCTCGGAGAAGGCCGCTATCTCTTACAAAATCTAGGTCTATGCTGTTACTCTCCTCCACATCTGCACACACACGTACAATTGCATACATCCATATATATAAACATGTATACGGCTGCAAGTGCAAGCTCATGCGTTATTCATGTATATACGAGCTCCGGTTTTTTCTCCACCAAACCCTTGCCTTTTCCAAAGACACTCGAAAAATGTAAGGGCAGGTGTGTGTGTGTAGTACTTAGATTGATAGTAGGCGATCGCCCAAGTTCGCTCATATATTGATTATTTTTATCTGGTAATGCGTTAAATAAGTTACAGTAACACACATAAAATAATCTAGTCGACAAAACTATGAGTTGTACAGCTGGATAAAATATATTTTTCGCATCCCAAAGTTTTGCAAACATTGGGATTGCTCCAAAACTAATAGTTTTTATCCACTTGTTAAATAGAGTTACGTTTCGGAAACGTGAACTGCATATACATAATATATACATGTATATATGTAAAAGTGTACCTATATATATACCTCGATATACGTATTTTACGAGTAAAGAAAGGGAGAGAAAAGGAAAGAGAGGTTAAAGAAGAAACAGGGGTCCGAGAGAGAGAGAGAGAGAGACTTGGCAGACGAAAGGGCCGGTCGGTGTGTTCTGTGCACACAGGTGGCCTGTAAGCTTGCAGGTATACCTATACAGTCTCGTCATACAGAGGGGTTTCGTTTCACGCTTCGTTGCCCCCTCGACTAACGCACACACACGCGCAGCTCCAGCGCTTTTTTTCGTTCGGTGTTCTATATACTCCCTCTACTCTGTTATATTTTATATTTATGTATGTGGCTATATTTTACCTACAATTATATACATGCACACCTATATCTAAACAGTCTGTTGCTGTCCCTATACTCTGTATGTGTGTATAAATTATATGTACAGTACACCTGGAGGTACATGTTATACACATGTCCGCAATATAATATTATACTTATAATATTGAAACACCAACACGATCATTCAGAGGGCTGAGGCTGAGTTTAGTTGCAACTTGCGGGTCGGTGTATTACCGATGTGACTGTATGTATACCTGCACATTCAAACCGCGTCGCTCTCTCCTCTTCAGTCGCTCGTCGGCGCGTCATCGGCGCTTATCATTTTTCACCTGCGCAACGCGAGAGTATCGGGTTTCTTTCGTTTTATTTTATTTTATTTCTTTTCACCCGACGACCACCTTCTTTTTCTTTTCAATTTCAAGTGATGCGTGAATAAATAGATTTTACTTTACCAACCCCCCCCCCCTGTTTCGGATACTCGCAAGTACTCGCGCCTGTGCCTGCCAGGTAAATTTTCATTTTTCGATTCTTCGAGTCGTGTTTTTTACTCGTTTAAGCAGGTAGTGATGATATACGTGATTGTGTTATATATCTGCTCTGTTGTTGCTGCTTATCAGTTGTTGTACTTATGAGTGTGTGTTTGTGAGATAGGTAATATACACTACTCGTGTGATGAATTGAAAAACATGTTGTCGACGATACGTAGCTAACATGTACATAATTTTTCATCAAGAGTTAATTTTTTTTTTTTTTTTTCTCCACTCAACGTGCAATTATAATTGTCTCAAAACAAGTTCCGAGGGCACCGTCAATTTTATACTGTGCATTTTTTTTTTTTTCTCCACTCAAAGTGCAATTATAATTGTCTCAAAACAAGTTCCGAGGGCACCGTCAATTTTATACTGTGCATTTTTTTTTTTTTTTTTTTTTTTTTTTTTTTTTTTTTTTTTTTT